GTGTACTTAATATCATATTTCGAGAAAGCTAGACATAAAAATTATTCACGACAAAACGTAAAAGAATCTGAGTTTTTGTATTTAAACCATTCCAGATTTGTCATGGAGTGTTCACAATTCCAATTACAAATAATCTGAATTCTAAATTAAATTTTCACTGCCTTAATAATGTTAGGTGAAACAGATGCTTTTAAAAGTTGCGTAGAAAGTGTAGTTGGTTAGTAAATGAACTAAAAATGTGAATGTTGATTTTGAAGTGTACTCCGTATAACATTAGAAACATGACCAAATGACAAAGCAACCGGAAGCTCTTGATTAGGAAAATCTGACTATAACATCAAAAGTAGTCAGTTTGAATGAAATCTGACAACATACGAAGTTTTAAACAATCTGACACTTTAGTGCTAATTTAGAAATAAATCCAGATTCTGAACTATATCATATGGTGAGAACAGTGAATTAGGACATGAGATTAAATAGACACCCAGAGCAAAGCACATGTTTTACAATTGATAATTGTTGACCATATGAATATATGATATAGTTTTTGAGCTCCCAGATTTGAAATTCTCATAATTAAATTAGTAAACTAACCCTCAACGTTATAGAATACGAATGTGATCTCATAACTGTTATTTTCAACTGTTATAATTGAATGATAATAACAGATTGTCATTATAAAAGTATGAGATGAAATTGACAAAAGGGCAAACAGGAAGACGGATAGTCAAATTGAACAATCTATTGGATCATAGTTATTGAACAATCCAGATTCTGAACTATATCATATGCTGAGAATAGTGAATTGAATGGAAATATAGTTGAACAATCTGTAATTTCCAATAGATGTTTATGAAAACTGGTCAGCGAGCTCTGAAAAATCTATTGGATCCGTGATTTGAAATAGCGGCCCGCTACCGCTATAGCGGCCGCTATATAGCGGTCGCGGTAGGGGCCGCTACCGCTACGGTCCGCTATTCATGTGTGATTTCCAAATCACGGGAAAAATCTGCTACGCCGCCCGCTACAGCCCGCTATTGATATTTCCGACAGTACGTCACAAACTGTTTGATGTGTAAATGTATAAATGTTGTGTGAATGATGTGAAAAAATACATTAATGATGATGCATGAAGTGAAACTCAAAATTAAATGTACATCTATCCACATACATTATGGTAGCCAATATTAATAAATATGTAAATTACAATTATTAAAACCGAATTAATTATTAATAAGGATGATTTAACTTTAATATCTCTTGACGAAAAAATGTTGACTTAACAAAACTATTTGGAACGGAAGTGATATTATTATGGATTATGCAAATGAAATTGGAAATGAAACGCAAATATGTATTATTATTATTATTATTATTATTAGGTAGATTCTATGGTACCCTTGTGGTATGATACCTTTTTCCACATGGACCAATCAAAATGATGCATTTGAATTATTTAAATATATGCTTTGTGCAATTGAAAATATTTCACGCCGCTGCAACCGCTACAGTCGGCTACAGACCGCTACCCGCGATGACCGCTTCTGTTACAGCTGCCGCTACAACTATTTAAAACCTTGATTGGATCATAATTATTCTCAACTATTATAATTGAATAATAATAATAATAATAATAGGATATGATTACAAAAAGAGATAAGCAAGCTCTGAAACGTCTATTGGAACTGAAAATGCATGCATGCATGCATGTATGTGTAAATTTTCAATCTGTGTATGGAACAAATCACATATTCACATACAAATTCAAAAAGTCATCAATCAATAAGTATTTATGTATATCACTGTGTGTGTGAATTGAATATACCGGTTTTTCTAAATATGTGATTGTAACATCAATAGTAGTCAGGTTGATTAAAAATCACACTATGTCAAAATTTTCACACTATGTCAAAGCTCCTCCAATCCACATCCCTAATTATATGGGACGAAGCGCCAATGGTACATAGACATTGTTTTGAGGCTTTAGATAGGACTTTGAAAGATATAATGAGCTTGAGTGATCCAGATAATGAAAAGCGGTCGTTCGGAGGGAAGGTTGTTGTTCTTGGAGGAGACTTCCGACAAATTTTGCAGTCATTCCAGAAGGGGGGAGAGCCAATGTGGTAATGGCAACCATCAACTCTTATTATCTTTGGAGCAATTGTGCACTTCGCCGTCTCACGAAGAATATGAGATTACTTCCAACTGCTCCTGATGAAACGACTGACATTGAAAAGTTTGGTTCATGGATTTTAAAGGTTGGGGACGGCGATATTGGAACACAAGTAGATGGAGTTTCAGAAGTGGAAATCCCAGATGAATTTTTTATCAAGGCGGAAGATAACTACCTAGCAACTATCGTTAATAGCACTTATCCTAACCTACAAGAACGCCTCAACGATCCAAATTACCTGCAGGAAAGAGCGATACTTGCACCTACTTTGGACGTGGTTCGCCAAATAAATGACTACATGCTATCTTTGATTCCTGGTGACCAAGTCACGTACCTCAGATATCATTATTAGTTCAGATATCGGTTTGTGTCATGAGAGTGACATGTATACACTAGAATTTCTTAATAGTCTCTCGATCTCAGGGCTGCATGATCACGAATTGCATCTAAAGGTTGGTGCTCCCATTATGCTATTGAGAAATATAGACCAACCAGTGGGATTATGTAATGGAACCTGCAGGTTGATTCTCACTATGCTCGGAAAACATGTGCTAGAGGCAACGATCATCACAGGAAGAAATATGGGGCGCATTGTTCATATTCCCAGAGTGCTGTTAACTCCATCTGACGTAACACTGCCTTTTAGTTTTCAGAGGAAGCAATTCCCGGTTATGGTATGCTTTGCGATGAGCATCAACAAGAACCAAGGTCAGTCTTTATCTCAGGTAGGACTATATCTCCAGAAAAATATTTTTACTCACGGCCAATTATATGTTGCCATATCAAGAGTCAAAAGCAAAGAAGGTCTGGAGATTTTGATTCGATCTAAAGATCTGGGATTTTCCTCCAAGACCATAAATGTTGTCTATAGAGAGGTTTTCTAGAATCTGGAAACATAATCTTTCAATTTTTATGTCATTTTGTTATTCTAATGTACGTATTACGAATCTCAACTTCTTTATGATATAATATGTTATATCAATTAATACTTTTATTTCAATGCTTTTGAGAATTATAGAGTTGATAAGAAAGATATATTTCATATATACTAAACTAAATATTTCATATGGGAGTTCTAGCCGGGGCAACGCCCGGGTACAAAACTAGTTAACCCAAAAAGCTTAGTTGGAAGTTGGAACAAATTAAAATTGAATCATTTACCATTATTGTAACTATACGAAGTACAACCAAACATGGAATCTAGCTTGCACTATTATCATATCAATGGGAGTATGAGTGGAGCTAGGTGTACACAAAAGTTGTACACAAAAGTTGTACAATTGTGTGTTCCCCCGCAAACAAATTGTCTGTCCCGAGATGAGCTAACAAGTTGTACAGATAACTCATCTCGGGACAGACAATTTGTTTGCAAGGGACAGACAAATGTACAACTTTTGTGTACACCAAACATTTTTCATGGGAGTATATGGTTGGTGTTGGACGTAGAGATGATAATCGCATACTTGATTTCTTTGAAGATCGTGTAAGTTCACTTTTCGAATTGATACTTTTCTCTCCTATGTTTGACAACTTGGGTAATAAGAAACTCAATTTAGGATAATCTTGAAGGACACTCAAAATTTGTCATAAATTCAAGAGTAAAAATTAGTAAATATATGAATTACATCAGGCCGTTTGGTAACACTGAAAGTTATTGAATCATCTGATTCTGCTGAAATTTATGAAGTTCTGACTGAAGTGGCTGGATTGGCTGATTCTGCTGATTTATGAACAAATTATATTTAAAATATTCTTTATTAATAAAATAAAAAAAACAATAAATGAAAATTTGTTAAAATCATCTTGTACACTAACTTCAGCTAATACAGACAAAAAAATAACTTCAATCTTACTTTTTCTTATTATAACACAATCCATTACAGGAAAATAAAAGTTATGTGTTTGTTGAAAAAGTTGGTTGATAAATGAGATAAGCGGAAAACCGGGGGGTCATAATCTCAAACTATAAATGCACGGACTATTGTTTAAAATTTACAACGATAAGTTCATACGTCTGTACAAACTTTTGAGGGAAAGTTCCCGAAATAGGACTAAAACAGTTTGAAAATTCCAAAATAGGATTGCCATGTTTTTTATTCCCAAAATAGGAGTAATTACTGCCAAGTTTGGAAAATACTGCCATGTTTGAAGTCGGGTATTGCCAAAACATGACAGTAATTAGTCCTATTTTGGGAATAAAAACATGACAGTCTTATTTTGGAATTTTCAAACTTTTTTAGTCCTATTTTAGGTAATATTCTCAACTTTTGATCGTGCTATTTTCCAGTTACAACATGACTTACAAATTCTTTTTCTAGTCAACTTCAAAGTTTTAATACTCACTCCGATTAACAACGAAGTTCCACCTTTCCTTTTTAGGCAGTTCCAAAATTAAGTTTCACTTTCAAATCTTTCCTTATTTGGCAAATTATCTACATCAAAACAGTTCCAAACAGTGTCAAACAGTGCCAAACAATGTTCAAACACTGTCAAATAGTGCACTCAATAGTAAAGTCAAATTTCTTTTCTTAATATGTGTGAAGTCAAATGTGGAACTTGTTTTTTAATCGGAGGGAATATTTCAAAGTTAATGATTACGTTCAGAATTGCCTAGCTTTAACCTAAGGTGAAATGAGTTACGTACTCTCTGATGACATACGGAATATATGTCATTTATGAGTGAATTAAAACAAAATGAAATAACAATAAATAATGTAAGAAAATTAAGAGAGTAAAGCAATTAAGAAGATTCATAAGGTCTTTCAAAACAAAAGACTCAAGGACCGAAAATCAACTATAAATACACTAGCTAGACAAGAGGATCAATGCCACAAGACACCCACCATCAAATAGTTGGAGCCTAATTGTCAACATTAATCCCACTCTCTTAATTACATCTATTTTTTATCCTGAGATTTTTGAAGTAATTAGAGATGACAACTACTAGAGTTCCTCCTTCACTAAATAGTGTTGCATTCTTACTCTTCTCCTCCCTTCTCTTTGTGATGACCTCTGCTCAGTTGTCTGCAAATTTCTACTCTAAATCCTGTCCGAATGCTCTTTCGAAAATCAAGGAGATTGTGAACTCCGCCGTGCAGAATGAGACTCGGATGGGAGCATCCTTGCTTCGTCTCCATTTCCATGACTGCTTTGTTAATGCAAGTATCTTTTTCTCTATCATTACTTTCTAAAAATAGTTAGGCTTTGTTTGCAAGTGTTTGTGTTAAAAAAAGCACTTTTTTGGAAAAAGTGATTAATATTAAAAGTTGGTAGTGTTTGATAAAATAAGTGCTTTTTGTGTAATAGAAAAAGTAAAAAGTAGATTCTACACGAAAGCCGAGAAAAGTAAAAGTTGATAATGTTTGGTAAAATAAGTGTTTTTTTAAGCCAAAAGTTGAGAAGTGGTGCTGTTTTTTAATGGTTTGCTAACAAAGCCTTAGTCTGCACAAAATAAGACTGAATGATTTTTTTTTGTTAGCACCAGGTGATCTGATTTATGGATCTGATTTATGGATTTACTTCTGTATAGACAGAAAAAGGTTTACTATACAAAATTTTGGATCCATGATAAAAAAAATTTGTTAGCACCAAGTAATCGGATTTATGGATTTACTTAGCTTCCTAATATAGATCACTTTACACTTAGGTTTGTATGTATCCCTAGGATTCAAGTTTTGTATGGAGTATATAAAATATCTTAAGTATACCATTACTAGTAGTTTTCATTTTATACGCTTTCCTATATAATCAGAATGGTGTAGTTCAGTTATGTAAATATAAATGGAGAATGATATAAGGGAAAAGGGGCAAATAAGCCCTCAACTAATAAAAAAAGTGCAAATAAGACCTTTTGTAGGAGGTTCTGTCCGATCATCATCATTTGGAGAGGTTCTCGGTGGAATTTTTTGATGAATTTTTTTGAGCATCTTCTTCATTAAGTCTAGTTTAGCCATACCAAATTTCAGCTAAAAATTCAACCGGGAAGGCACTCAAATGATTTTCGGAACTACACTGCGTTGTTTAACTGCGCAGTTATCTTAAAAAATTCATTTGACTGCCTTCCGGGTTGAATTTTTAGCTGAAATTTTGTCTGGGTAAACTAGACTTAATGAATAAGATGCTCAAAAAAATTCATCAAAAAATTCCACCAGGAACCTCTCCAAATGACGATAGACAGACGAAATCTCCTACAAAAGGACTTATTTGCACTTTTTTTATTAGTTCGAGGGCTTATTTGCCTCCTTTCCCATGATATAATGATTTGGACCTAACAAGTGAATGGTAGGTACGGTACTCCATTTTTAAATGGGTACCGTAGTTGGCACCGTAATCCTATTACATTCAATCATTCGGATAGATCGCCGGATGCTAACAGAAAAATAGAAAAGTAGAGTGAATGGTAAATTGGTAATACTGATAATTAATGAGGTTTTGGGAGTCGAACACCAGGCATCAATCTCAGAACATTATATATTGCACTTGGTTTTTTCGTTTTCTTTTTATTGCTACGATATGCATGTATAATTGAAAAATATATACTAGTACATAAAAACATAGTACGTAACCATGGATAATTCATTAATCAATCTATATACAGTATAACACTGCTTCTGGTTTGGACAGGGGTGTGACGCATCAGTTTTATTGGACGACACAAAAAACTTCACCGGAGAAAAAACTGCCCGCGCAAATATTAACTCGGCTAGAGGGTTTGAAGTGATAGACGCCATCAAAGCAGCTCTAGAGAATTCATCATGTGTTGGGGTTGTCTCTTGTGCTGACATTTTAGCTGTTGCTGCTCGAGACTCCGTAGTTGCGGTAATAATTTATACTACATGTTTTACAGTGTTTAACAGTTTAAGAATAAAAACACATAATTAAAAAAATTATAAAGAAAGTTAGAAATGTAATTAAGAGAATAAGGAAATAAATTATATGGAAAATAGCTAAATGGTCATCTATAATAACTCCAACCAATTCAGCTGGAAAAACAACCCTAATACTACGTATTACTTATTTTGTTTATTACTACGCCCGTCCCTTAAAACTTTGCCAAATTTATTTGACCGGCACGGAGATTATTAAAGTAAAAATTTTTTGGTTGAGATTTGTGCAGAGGGAAGAGAATAACTAGAACCCTAAATTCTTTACTTAAAAGAGAAAGTAACAAAGTTAGTGGGACATCCAAAAAAGGAAAGTTGACAAAGTTTTAAGGGACGGAGGGAGGATTACACATTCTAGTGTGCGAAATCAAAAGTTACGTTTTTTTGTGAAAAAATTGATCCATAGGCCTGATAAGTCGAAAAACATAGTCACCGAACGAAACCTAATTTTTTGTTATCCAATATCCATTTAGTATTATTCACAACTGTATCCAATACTCGATTCAATATAAGGGTATAGCGGGGGACAACGAACCTAGGTCCCGGCCCCCAAATTCAAACTGTACACAAAATTGTGTATTTTTTTTTTTTGAAAATATTCTTTGTACTAGCTCAGTCCGGTCACTACTCTGGCGGATTCGGTACAAGTAGTCTATAACTGTGTGGTTTATCAAGCTAATTACACCGTAGTATAATTGAATTTTACCGATCAAGCTACACGATATAATGATTATTAATCGTGGCCTCGTGGGTACACATGCAGTCAACGTTATAATATACGAGTAACAAGATAAAAGTCAACTTTGAGATCTACCTATAAATTTTGAATCGTCTAACTAACAATAGGTATTTTTTTTTTTACTTTCATAGTTATATGCGTTTGCCCGTAACTTTTTTTGTGGAATATAATATTATATGCGTAATACTACGTATATTTTATTAGTACTCCGTAATAATTTTAAAAAAATCATAAAAACTCCAATAGTAGCGTACTAGCGTTGTCGAACTCCTATGCCGAATGGTGTACATAAAAGCATAGTATGCATCTTCGTAATTTTTATATCAAGCAATAGACAGTAGACACAGTGTACTAACATCAAATTAAAGTAACTTATATATATTCTTACTTATTAATTAATACCTCTATATATCCCCCCAAGAGTAATTATTATAAGAAAAATTGAGTTTTGAAATGATAAAGTGTGAATAAAATAAAGAAAAAATATCAAATACACAAACCATTACCTAATATGTTAAGAGATAAATTTTGTGGGATGGGCGAAAAAGGAGAATACGACAAATTAAAGATATTGCGCTAGTTAGAGAGAGCATGAACTTAATTGAGTAATTCCATTTATATTGATTAATTTATCATCCATACAAGAGATTGATAAATACTAGCCTCTATAATAAGTAGTACCAATTATGGAATGTCTATGCATGTAATAGAGAATGAACAAATAATTATGGATTATATTGGATGAACACATGAAAAAACTATGTATGAAAAGGGTAGGAATTGATGGATTTTAAAATGGCGTATGTGGCATAAATGTACAGCTTGGGGGGCCTAGTTGGAATGTTTTGCTAGGAAGAAGGGATTCAAGAACTGCAAGTCTGGCAATGGCTAACACCGACATTCCCGGACCAAATTTCAATCTCAATCAACTCAACGCCTCATTCTTGAGCAAAGGCTTAACCTTTAAGGATATGGTCACTCTCTCAGGTTCGTTCTTAAGACAGAAGTTCTATCCAAAAAGGTTAACCTGATAAAAGGAATAATCCTCATCTAAATGTAACATTTCATGACTTCAAAATTTTCCTGGGTGAGAGACTTCGATATATCTCTTTCCCACCTCTACTCTGCATTATCATAATGGTTGGAGTGTCATTTTTAACATGAAAAATGATCATATATTCATAAACGGTGCAGGGGCGCACACTATTGGGTTGGCAAGGTGTACAACATTCCGAAACCACATCTACAATGATTCGAATATAAACGTCGCATTTGCACGATCATTGAAACAAATTTGTCCTAGCAGTGGGGGTGACAACAATCTTACTTCACTAGATTATAAAACTCCAACTCGATTCGACAATACTTACTATTCGAACTTGAAGGAGAGAAAGGGAGTTCTGCATTCGGACCAAGAGCTCTTCAATAATGGAAGCGCCGACTCTATTGTCAATGATTATAGCTCTAACTCCAAGAAATTTGCTTCGGATTTTGCAAATGCGATGGTGAAAATGAGTAATCTTAGCCCCCTTACTGGCTCAAGTGGCCTGGTTAGGAAGAACTGTAGGATAGCCAAATGAGTAATGCGTACTCCGGCCTTGTGTGTTACGGAGTATTACAAAATTTAAGTGTTGTTTTGAATTTGAATGTCGTTGTTTTGTGTGGATGGAGGGGTGTGTGGGATCCAAGGGCAAATAAGGAATTAGATGAGTTTATTATATAATTATATGTCTGCTCTAGTTTTTTCATATACTACTTTAATGAGTTTCCTTCTGTAAAAGCCTTTATATAAAGCTCATTATTAATAAATTTCGAGTGTTTCTTATTTAAATTTTGTGCACGTATATATAAGAGATGTTATAATTCACTTTTGCGGAGACCGAATACATTCTTCCACGTTGAAGATATGTCCCCTTGAAACCTAGCTAGCTACTGCTTTTATTCCTTTTAACATGACTATTAATCAGGTTACTAGTATCATTTCCAGTCATAGTATGACTTTTTAATTTATTTGTGGAACAATTGACCTTATTAGTTAGTTAGTTAATAGTTTGGTGTTATTGCAATCCAATTAATAAATCATACTCCCTCTGTCCCCTTTTATTTAGCCAAACATAATTTTTCAAGTCAAAGTTGTTCAACTTTGACCGATTATATATTTATACACGGTAATATTGATAATATGACAATTATATGAAAATGTTCTTTGTTAAAAATATGATCACAAAAGTATAAATTTATTAACTTTTACATAAATATAATAGTTAAAATAATGGATCAAAATTTATCATCTTTAACTGGAAAAGTCAAAGTTGGCTAAATAAAAAGTGAGGAGGTAGTATTCACTATACTATTAAGGGAAATCTAACTTAATACTCCGTACGTTTTATAACTAGCGGAAATCAATACTTAAGGAGGAGGAGGAGGGGGAGGGGGAGGAGGGGGGAGGGGGAGGAGGAGGGGGGATAAATTTTGACGATGGTCAAATAATAAAGTTTTGTGATGCGGGAATGAGATTTGGGGATTTCTGCTTTGTGGAAGGGATAAATTTGAGCTTTCAAAAAGGGCCGCAATTTGCTCAAAATGGTTTGTTTTGCTCGAAGGGTTTGTGTATATTAGTCTATCTAATGAGGCTTAAGGTATGCCTTGGCCTGGCTGGAAATTTCAACCCTAAACCCTCAACACTCAACGGCAGGCTCGGGTAGGCTAGGCAGCAGGCTCTGATCTAGCAAATGTGTCAAGGGTTAATAGGTGTTACTGTATTAGCCAGGATGAAAATGGAATCGAGATGGGATCTAACGACCTTGAGGTAAAAGATATTGGGCTCAATTTGCTGAATTTCCTGTAGCAAAAGTGATATCCCAACTATCTTTGTATATAGCTTGTAGTTTACTTACGATTTAAGTCTTGTTAGGTATATTCCTTTTCTTAAATTAAAAAGGATAATAATGATTTTATCTGATGTTTTTTTTAGAAACAAAACATCACATGCAATTGGGTTACATGAGATGAAGAATTTCTATAAGCATACAAATCAATTTGTTATATATCTTTATGTATTTACTAATTGGAATTTAAAAAAACGCCCATGCTATCTAGATTATCTTATTATATGTTCGTAAGAAAAATAAAATTAGTGGAGTTATGAGGTAAAGCTTATTACTTGTGTAAAATGTTGAACTTCACCTTGGATTTGAAGAGCTCTTAAGTAGTGGAGTTAAATGTTTTATCAACAGTATCATAAGTGACATAATTTTTCTAGAGTGTTGAGTGTTGGTACTTCATGTTTGGGATCTTGAGTTGTTGGGAGGGCTCCTCATCAATTTCATGATTTCAACATTTGATACCAGTGGTCAAACACCACGAGTATATGATCAATACTCAGATCATTCAAAAGTATTTTGTCTTTGTGTTGTAAACGCTTATTTTAAAATAAGTTTTAAAGTGTGTTGATTAATCATTTAATGTGTTCAATGATTAATGATTAGTTACATGAAAGTGATTTTACCAAAAGTAAAACAAGTAATTTTTTTAAGTGATATATTAGTGTTATCTGTTTCCTCAAAAGTATGTTTTAGAAGAAAGTTTGAGTCTTAAAATTTCTCAAAGAAATCTTCAAAGTATTTTAAGCTTTTAGCACTAAGATTAAAAAAAAAGTATTGTACATTCTTCTTGCCAGGGTTGTCCTCATTTTTTATTTGGTTACAATAAGATATTGAGTCTCACCACTTAGTTCTTTAGAATGACCTGCAATTAAAGTCTATATAAGTGATTCAAAAGTTTTTAATAGTATCTCGTTATTAGAAATTAGATTAGTAGAGATGAGAGGAATGATTAGATCAAACCAGTCTCGGGTAAATCACGAGTCTTAGAACTTGTTGCACAGTGCATGCTACGATATAAGGATTTGTGAAGTGTGTTTCAATACAGTATATCTAGAGTATGAAGATTTCAATGTAATAAAGAATATTCTCTACAAAGAATCACACTTCTACTTCTCAAAATTCTCCTCTTCATTCAATTGGCTGAACCAAGCTATTGATTGAGTTTAAGATTATCATCTCTAACTTATGAAAGTTTGTTTTCCTCAATAATAAATTAATTGGTTCCGGTAGTAATTTTCATAGGCTGTCCTTGCTATTCTTTATTTTGCCTCTTCCTCTAATTATGTTTTGGCATGAGGAAAATGTAAAACCTGTTTTCAAAACCCGATTGAAGAATAAGAAATCTACCTAACTACATGGTAGTGGTCTAGGCAGAGCAATTGCTAGAGCATGGGTGCTCCACGAGGTTTAATTTTTCTATTGTATTGGATTAATTCTCACCGTTTCTAATGTTTAAATTAAAAGTCTTTTATAAAGCAACACCACCATTTTTTTATCTTCTTTGAAGGCAGATCGATTTCCTTAATTAAAGGGTTTAAGTTGTTTAACAAACCAGAAGAAGCTTGAAACTTAAGAAAGAAAATGTAAATTTTGATAATGAATTATCTATTGCATTAGAGGCATGGTCTCATGTCCATAATTTTTCAAAATATGGACATATTTTATTGTGGTGCGAAGGCATTTTTTTACAGCTACATAGTTGATTTCTTAACGTTTTGGTCCTGGAATTTGTGCAGGCAGAACCTCAAACCCGAGTGTAGGTATATTTTAAGCCCCTAAGGATGTTTCAGTTTGGAGATTTCTATTTTATTATCGTCTTTCTTTTACATTTTAGTAAGCAGACAAGGCAATGTAATTAATGTATATGCTATGTTGTAAGCTTGTGATTTTGTGTGGTAGTGCTAGGGCTGCACAAGAATAACCCGAACCCGCATAACCCGCCCGACCCAACCCTACCCGATCACTTTTAGGATGTTTTCTTTTGGACTGTTTTCAGTCCCAGACCAAATCAGACCAGACCACACCAGACCAGACAAAACTAGACTTGACTTCCGTAGTTATAAAATACACAGAGACCAGACGTTTACCAGACCAGACCAGACCAGCAAATTTCAGTCCAAAAGAAAATATCCTTAATCGGGTATTTCATTTTTTAAAATATTCACGGGTTAAATATGTACGAACCCGCACCTGATGGGTAGGGTTGCGGAATTAAAATCTCAAACCCGATAGTACCCGACCCGGCCGAAAGTTCAATTTATTATATTTATGCTACAAAGTTTTGTTGGATAATTTTTATTTAAGACCGATGTGCTCTATCTAAGAGTATGATTTTAGCATTATATAAACATTTACCATTTTGACTAGGTGATTAGTATATATATATATATACACACACACACACATTTGCTTCTAAATTAATTTCCTTTACGAAATAATGTTTTGATACTATTGCCCTAAGTTTACTCTTATAAAAGTACTTGCATTTGTTTGTGTATTTTGGAAACAAGTTAACCGAGATTCATATTGCATGTGTTAGTTGCACATATTTAAGATTCAACCCGAAATAAATTCCTTTCAAAGTTTCAATACTCGACCCTACGGCCGTACCCGACCCGTTCATGCATGGTTTACCAACTTATATTTCATACCGCGGGTTGGTAAATAGCCAACCGAATAAATTGGGTAGACCAAAAAATATAGTAATGTTACAATGTAGCCGTGCCCCCAAGTAACTACCTGAGCTGAGCGTAGCAGGACATCCTTCCGCGGGGAGTCCCGGGGTTGCTTCTGATGTGCTGCGGGCTAGCTACCCAAGGTCATCAGCGAGGGGCCAAGACACAAGCTACGGGCCCATAAAGTCAAGAAATTATTAAGATAAGAATAAAGAATGACGAATAAGGAAATCTCTTGGTGTTAGATACATGAATGCTTATGTGTTGTTATCATGTGTGATCATAGCATATGTGTGGTGTGTTCAGTATGGGTATCTATTTATAATTAGCTAAGATTCCCTTAATGTTTTTTAGTGGATGAAATGGTGACTTACTAAGCATTATTGCTTACGAGAATTCTATTCTCTTATGTTCTCATGTATAGGTAATAAACGAGGTACAAAAGCCTGAGAGAATTTATGGAGCCGGTGACAGGTTTTTGTATGGGTTAACGGAAAAGATCTGGCTGTCGGTTATATTTTGTTTAGTACATTGTTACTTCAAAGGGGCTGTTAAATGTTTTAAAATACTGATCAGGTGTAAGAGTTTTAAAGGTGTTTCTTTTGGATGTCTTTCGTTTTGGTTGTAAGTTTTGATTATATTTTTATAAAAGAAATAGAGTCTCAGCTCGAGGCTTTGTATATTTATTTTCGTTTGGTTTATCGAATCTCTTTTATGTTTGAGTATCGTAATAGCCGTTTAGGGGCGGTCGTTACAATAGGTTTAAAAATTTGTGTAGAAATGTAGCTTTCTGTAATTTAAAAAATGCGCAAACCCCTGTATTTTAATTATAATTACAATTTGTGATTTAATAGCATTCCAATTTACCTAGTAATAATTATTTAACTGTTTATCTAATTTCCTTGAATCTTTTCCTTCCATTAGAATAAATAGACTTTTCAATTTTATGAAAAATAGCCAAATGAACATATATGATGTCATTTACGATAATGAATATAAATAAAATGATTAACAAAAAAATAATGTAAAAATATAAAATACTATAACAGCCCGTTTGGTGACCCTGTTTTTCGACTTATCAGACTTATCAACCCACTTTTTCACCAAACGCATTAGTTTTAATTTCGCGCGTTGACTTGGATTTACTTTTCTGGCTGTCACTACTAGAAAAGTGCCTTACAGTGACACTAAATTAGTGTTACTGAAAGTTTCTGTGACACTAAAAAAGTGTCGGGAAAAGTGTCGGCTAGTGACACTAAACAAAGTGTCACTAAAAGT